GAGAGAGAGAGAGAACCACGAAAAACCAGGAGTATTTAACATCCGAGTGATGGCGCATTAAACAAGTTGGTTTAACATTGCGTCACACACGGTTAAAAAAGTAGGAAAAAATTACTTACTTATATAAAACCGTCGTTCAAGAACCGCAAGAAGAAGAAGAAGAAGAGGAAGAAGAAGAAGAAGAAGAAGAAGAAGAAGAAAAAGAGATTTGTAATTCGAAAAAGACGAAATAAAAATAAAAATGCATCGTAATATGAAATACGATTAAAGGTATGAAACTTTACACATGATGTTTCGAAATTGATAGTACGATAAAAAATGGTATACTACGAATAAAAAAGAAAAAATGATAAGATGAAATATAGGCAATTGAAATTCATGTCAAATGAATATTTTATTAGAGATAAAAAAAAAAAATGTAGGTGAATAAAATTTGGATAATGAGATCAGCAATGGAACGATAAGTTTTTTTTTGAAAATTAATTATAATTTGCACAATCGTGCTTGCACGTCCACTTATGTATGTAGACGAGTGAGCAATATAATCGGTCGAAGACGAATTGGAAATGAATTAAAAGTGAATTTTTTCTCTTGAGCTCTCTTGTCCTTTCCAAAGAGCAAGGTGAAAGGTTAAGCATTCTAAATTTAGTTCCCTTTTAAAATTAATCATATTTACGGCACGTGAAAGGAGATGTAACTGTTTGTAAGTTGAAGAGCTCATTTTATTTTGTTACAAAGCATTGAAAACGCGGTTAAATTGGGGACACACGAACATGGGGCCAACGTGATTTGAATATTGAGACGTTCAACCGTTTCAATAGTTCTTTCTTTTAGGAACGAGACAGAACATAATTGAAAAGGAAACGTCATATAGAAAAGAAATAGAAAAAATTCTTAATGAGATGAAGAAAATTTACCTTTCTTGAAATATCCAATTTGATCGTGTTCCATTCGAAATTTCACATCTAATTTAACTTTAAATGTAATTTCTAAAAAAAAAATATATATATATATATATACGGATCTTATCGAATTAATGGAAACGTGCATCGCGATTAATTTCCATAATGTTTAAATCAACTTATAAATGAATGATTTAAATTAAATGTAATCGACGTGTTTCCGTGATTAACTATGTAGGATAGATAATTAATTTTAATCAATATTTTTCATCTTCATCATTAATTTGACATTAATATGTTCTAACGTGTCACGTTTATTAACACGTGACAAAGTACGCTAAACTGGAATTCACGTTCTTTACGCAGGATACTCAATTTATTTTTATTACAAAAGTGTTACAAGTGACTTGCAAGCAGGATAATAAAACTATGATAACTAGAAGCGAGAGAATCTAGTCGACCGTGAAATCTGGACAACGCAACATAAATTTTTGTAATTTTATTTCAAAATTCGAAAATTTATCATTAACGTTGAAATAATTTCCTATCCTAGCTTCTCTATTATAAATCGATAGATACTTAATAATTATAATAATAATAATTATAAGCATGAATATCATGCATTTTGGAATATCCTATATGTATAACACGTTTCAGCATTGGATGCATTTGCGAACAACTATCTTGCGTAGCGAATTCAATTACCAATGACACACGTACAGGAAGATGCTGATGACGACAACATTGAACAAACATGCGTCTGACCAGTTTAGTGACAACTAAACTAATGAATGTTCGAATGTTAATTCGTAAATTTAACGTGCATATGGATATCCAGAATAACTAAAGCCCGTATAAATTTTAACATTTTACGATTAAAAAATTGTGTTAATTTCTCTATTAACTCGCATCAAGTATAGAGAAAATTTAAATATTTGTATAACGTTTTAATCTTCAACGTTGACATGACGAGATGAGCGAGCTTATTATATTTAATTAACGAAAAGAAATTAATAGTTGCTATTGTAAAAAATAGTTTAGTATTTGTTACATTAATTAAATATATTCACATTAAATATGTTTTGAAAATAATTTATAGTTTTGTCGTTTATCTAACGAATAAAAGATAACAATTTTATTGAAAATTTGCACGAAAGAACCTCTGTGTAATCTTTTTCGAGTAATTTATTATATTTTCACAAGATATTATCGTTTCCATCGTTTATTTTTCGCAAAGCAAAAATCACTTTACAAGCCGTAAATTATACCTTCTTCGCAAATAACGTTTTATTACATGGTCAATATTATTAAAAACTTTTAAATATAATCTATTTGCAACTTTTTGACACGTATTGTACATCGTCGAATATTCTAGGATATATATTTTCTTTCTTAATAATCATTTCGCAAAATAATAATAAGCGTAAATAATAAAAGAAAAACCATTTCGTAATTCGCGAAATTCGAATCATCTTTAAACGATAATAATCGCATTGTCCATGATACAAAAAATTATACAGCCGATAATAAAGTGCCATTAATATCGACAAGGTTGTAACCAATCACGTTCGTAAACATACTCCAATTTGAAATCTAACGGAAAACGAGGAAACAGAGAATCCAAACATGGACATCACGACCATTCTATACGTGTAAGTACACATATATTACCATATATATCACTGACAAGTTGAACTCGTTCGATCAGAAAAGAGCTGCAATTTTTTGTGATGAACTCTCGAAAAGATGAGATTGCACGAGAAAAAGAATGCGGGGAAAGAAGAAGAAAAAAGTTGGAGCTAATCGCGACGGAAATAGTGGATTGATAATTCATAGTTATTTCCATGGACGAAACGTGAAACCATAATTAGTTTAAGGTCAGAAAAGAATGGTGATTAGAAGGTTTTTCACAAGCCCGCATGATTAGAACGTGACATAGTGATATTTCTTTAGCGATGCTTCATGCATATGATACATATTCGCACACACGCGTGTTCACATGCCGTGATGATTTTTCGCACGCCACTCGCTTTGGCCCAAATTACATACGCTCGTAGCTTCGCGAAACGCTCTAAAGCCAGTTGCTGCTTTCACAGCCTTTTTTTTTCTCTTACACAACGCGTACACATCGTACATTCTGTATGCGAATCACGGTCAGCCTGTATTTTCGACGAAAGTGAAAGAATTGAGATCAACGACCTTTGACGAAGGAGAAATTCACAAAAGAATAATCGACAGTTAAAATATATTTTACAAATCGCGTTTAGCATTTCAATCCTTAAGAGGAAAAACGTACAATCTTAATCAAAAAACAGGACGGAGAAGTTTCACGAAGAGAAAGTACACGAGGACGCCGTAATGTCAGCTGACAGGAACAAGAATTGCGAGAAAGAGCCATGTAATCAGTTATTGAAGAGAATATTAGTCGATATATAGAGGCATAATGAAAACATAACCGTGATAGATGTAGAAGTGACAGGAGGTTAGTCGTAAATAACGCGACATCAAATCGTATGCAATTTGATGAACAAGCACGATGACTATGTTTTCCGTGTAACTGAATAAGAAAAATACTTGCCTGTTTAAGCTGTAAGCACACGGTGTTACAGGTTTCCACGTTGTATAGTGAAATTCCAGCGATCTTGCGTCTACGACACAAATGTCACCGACTTTGGCACACGATACATACACAGAACGACTATGTTTTGGCAGTGGTTCGCGGCATGTTCTTCCGGCACGAGGTCTACGACGAGGTTAAATAGACGTTGACATGTGCGCGATAGAAAAACACGACGGCACCCACGCACTATTCGGAACAAATTGTCAGAAGAACGAGGCCGAACTTTCGAACCGAACTACCGATCGTTCCGACCACTACAGACCAAGTGTAGCACCGCACTGACTGCTCTCGCCGTTCACCAAGGCGATAACAAACTCGTCGCCTCTCCCTCGCGAGTCTGCCCTCCTTCTCCGATGCTTTCTCCTTCTTCCTCCAATGGACTACTATCCTGTTTCCACGGACAAACGCCAACTGCCGTGTACTGCTGAGCGAAATTTCGGTCTTTCTCGCACCGCGGCGTTCGCAATATGGTTTGATCTCACTCTCATTACTCTGTCTCTTTCACTCTACAATTGTATATCTTTCTTACTTTCCCTCCCTCTACTTCGCTGCTCCGTTTAGCGTACAGTGCTGCCGCCACACTTCGTCCCCACTATCGCATCGCATCGTATTCTGTCACCTGGCGTTTTTAATTTTCTGATATTTTATCAATGCTCTGTTACAACTGAATGATATCAGTTGATAAAAAGCATTTGTACTTTTAAAAAAACTAACTGTCACTCGCAAAAAAGGCAAATGAAACGTATTTAAGCTTGTTCCATGACGCGACAACGCGATGCACGACATGTTTTGAGCTACTGACGTTCGGTACTGGTTTGCAAACAGTATTGATGTTACTGGCGCCACCTACTGCGATCAATTGCAACATAATTTTGTTTAAAAAAAAAATTGTTTAATTTTTTACAAATAAAAATGTTTTAATCTATTAAATAAGTGAATATTTTAAATCATAAAGTAAATCATAATTGCAATTAAATATAATTAAATTTTCTATATTATCTTCAATAGGATATATTAAATGTTATAAATTAAGTAAACGAAATACAGAAATTCTCTTACGATTAGGAGAAACTCTTTTTTAAATAAAATATTTACTAAACTAAAATTGCAACATTAATAATAGTTGAAATTAAAATTAAATTTTTATATAAGATTATAAATAATGATAATTAATTCTTGTTTATCGATAACTGATATATCGAGGCCTATAATTTATATAATTTTTAAGATTTGATCTCCTTCTTCACAAAACTGACGAATTTTGTAATTTTATCATCTGATGATTAATTATAGTTTATCGCTAGATGGTTATAATGTTTTGATATTCCATGAATACAATTTTTTAGAGTTGTGCATAATTAATAAAAAAGAATGAATATTAAAATAAAGTTTTATGATTATAATTATAAACTATTTTGAACTTTCGAAAGCTAAAAGATTTAATCTAAAGAATATCTTAAACATAATCTGACGATAAAATAGATAGAAAAATTAGTTCTCTAGTTGACCGTTACTGTTGATAACTTTGTGGCGGTAGTATATCTCTTCCATTTTGTAGTTTGTCTTCACGGAATATTAGTCATCATGGTGCGTATATTTTAAAAATCGAAAAAAGTAATAACAATCCGTTATTAATTTAACAAAAAAATTAAATAGCAATATATTATTAATAATTTTAAATAAAAGAGTTAAAATATTAATGGTTAATATACATTATAATATTTGATTACTTATTGATTTATAAATTTTGAGGTTATATGGATGTGTTTAGTGTGTTGAATACTTTATTTCTAGATTTATTAACTATAAATGAAATATATATATATATATATATATGATAGAATGAATTTGAATAAAAACAATACAAATATGATTTTAGAGTCGCGTCAGGACAAAGACGGTCAAAAAGGCCGCAAAACTTATCATCGAGAAATACTATACTCGATTAACAATGGATTTCCATACAAATAAAAGGATATGCGAAGAAATCGCTATTATTCCTAGCAAATCTTTGCGAAACAAAATCGCCGGGTATGTATTTTGAAAAGTGATTATTTAATGTGAATATATTATAGTTGTAATTGTAATTTATAATTTATTTATAATTTATATAAAAAACAAAAATAGAAAGTTTTGAAATTTAGTGAATGAAAATATATTTTCTAATTTTTTGATTTCTTTGTTTTCAGATTTGTTACTCACTTGATGAAACGTCTTAGACACAGTCAAGTACGTGGTATTTCTATCAAATTGCAAGAAGAAGAAAGGGAACGCAGAGACAACTATGTTCCTGAAGTATCTGCTTTGGAACATGATATTATTGAAGTTGACCCAGAAACCAAGGAAATGTTACAAATGCTTGGATTTAATAATATCCCAGGACTTCAACTTACACAATCTCAATTACCACCATATAGCAGGCGTTCTTAAAATTTATTTCTTTATATTAAATAGGATTGTTAGTATTGCATTTTTCAATAAAACTGCAAGCTGACATTCTAAAATCTTATGTTTTTAAATTGATTTTATCATTCTATCATATAAAATACGTACCATTCCTCAATATTTATACATATTAATTTTTTTATGATAAAAAAATAGATCGATATAAAATAAATTTTATAAGTTAAGATCAACATATCTTATTACACATAATTTTTAATAAAAATAATTGCATTTATTAAAAGAAAAAATAAATATAAATAAATTTCAAAATCTATGTGTAGAGTATTACAAGATAGTGAAAAGTTTGAAATAGAAATACGCATGCGCAGAAATCGGCCATTTTAATTAGACTTGGTTCTATTTATTACATTATGATAGTTATTAAAATTAATTTTTTCATTCTTCTTTTCAGACTTTTCAATCTTCTATAAAAATTATAAAATAAATTATTGAAGGATTAATTAACATATGAAATTTTTTATGAAAAAAATATATAAATATTATATATTTTCATAATAAAAAATAAATATTTTAAAAGTTAATCAAATTTATATTAGATTTGATATTTTTCATAGATTCATAGATTTTTCATATATATATTAATAACTGTAATATTATTTTCAAAGTAACAAAAAGAAGAAAAAACGATACAATCGTAAAGATTCTATATTATCGATTTTTTGTTTCAATTATAATTTACTTTAATATGCACAGCGTGCACACATAATTTATATTAATATTTAGAGTATGTATTTTAATGTATATCATAAACGATTTTTGCTTTCCTTTCTACGAAATGAGTCACTCATTTTACATTGCAAATATAGAAGTAGCAATCCTATCTCTGATATCATATTTATCAGCGATACCATTTGCTTGTGGTTCAAATTGCGAAAAACCAGAATATCATATCGAGTCGAGTTTAGAACGTTAAACATTTTACAAGAGATAACGCTCAATAAGTCCGCGACTGCATTGTGGTGAAATGCGTCGCCCTTCCAAAGCGCCCACGCGCTTAGGCCGGACCTGGATAAGTTGTTCAGAGGCTGCGCGACCTAGCACGATCCAAGGCTAGGTAGCCTAGCACAACCTGGTGAAGAGAGAAGGTTGAGAAGAAAGAGTAAGAGAAACGGAGAGAGTAGCTGTAATCGCACGCCTGCGAATGTTGGAACTCTCGGGAGCAGGGAGGAGAGACCGTACAACCGGCGAGTCAGTCGACTATTAGTGGTCTGTGACTCTGGAGGTAGCCCGACCACCGCAGAACCGAGCCCGACGCAGCTCGGTTGCGTTCGGTCGGTAGTCGGGGCCAGTCGGGCACTCCACTGCTCTTTTCGGTCTGGTCGTTTTCCTCAGTCCGTCGTCGTTACGCATCGAGAACAGTTGCATTCTTTCTTTTTCGTTAAAGACAACGAATAGTACCCATCTTTTTCCGCACTATGTGACGGATATTAGGGGGCACCGAGCGTACCCCGCCTTCTTTGTATATCATTCCCACCCTATCCTTCTGCCTGCCACTACTCTCCTTTGCCCAAAGAGAGAAAGAGAGAAAGAGCACGTTGTAAACGCAGGCACGTACGTACGCAGGCACTCGCCGACGAAGGGGCCACGAGGGCCCCGTGGAATTGTGCTTAGGAAAACATGGAGTGTCCACATCTTGCTCAAAGCGTCCAATTCGGCGGTAACGACGTAGAAGCGAATTGTACGAAGGATCTACCATTCGTCTGTGCAGGTAGGACCTTATAAAAAAATCCATACCTTTATCCTTTTAGAAACTTGAAAGAAGTTGTATCTAGAAAATCAAACCTGACCCTCTTTCTCTCTGTTCCTCGATCAATCCTTTTTTTTCAGATTTTATTTTGCACGTCGGCTCGATCTCGATCTTTCCTTCACTTCTATTGTCTCCCATCTCCTTTCCACTCATTTCTTTTGCGTTCTTTATTCGTTCTCTGTTTCTCTCTTTTTCTCCCTGTTTCTCTTGCTCTTTCTCTTCCTCTTTCTTTACCTCTCGTGACCGAGGCCCCGGCCGTTCCTCTCGCGGCCTTGAGCCGTCGTAGTCGACGAGATGAAGCGAGCCATTTCTATTCCCTTTAAAGAACTAATGCATGTTTTCGAAAAGTATAGCAACATACATGTTTGTGTTTGCTTTGTATTCCACGGTTAATACACGCGAGTATCGATGATGGACGCATGACTCTACGTATCGTAGTTCGTATGCTTCGCGAATCGAACTCGTCGTGCGAATATGTACATCTCTCCTCGATATAAACGCGAATGTATACGTGTGAATACGTATGAATGCGAGACAAGTCTTGCACGCATGTATGCGAATGTATATGAAAGTCCACTCCTCTTCTTCGTGTATTAGTGTATATACAATATAGTGGTATGTATATGTGTCCTCCGTTCATGGGTGTCTCTCTACGGACCGAACAAGAGCGTCGTGGACGTGCGCGTGTGCATCGTCCTGCTGGGAGTTCTCAGTATGCGGCGCGGTCGTCATTGGAAAATCAATACCAGACGGCACTAATCAGCTGGCCTGAGATCTGTCATTAGAACTCGCCAGATAAACGTGCTCATCGTTCAACCGGACTATTCCCGCCTTTCGTTTTTCCTAATTTTATCCATTTTCACTTGACGACTCGCTTCTTAAGATTTCTTAAGAATCGTTGGCTTAAAAATTTTATATTTGCAAAATCAATGAAAAAGAATGATAATCTTATAAATACTTTTTTTTCGTTTATCATATGCTTTCTTCTCCACCGTTCAACTCTTTATCCTCTCTACTCTACTCGCTATCTTTGATACTATATTTATCCTGAAATAAGCGCAATACTTTTATTGCATCCATTTAAATCTCCCTTTCCCTACATGCTCTCTCTCTTGACTAAGGATCTTTGTACAGTTATAGATAGAAAATTTTATAATAGAGACTCTTTCCTCTGTTCGATAATCGATTTTGGACTACGATACTTTTTTTTCTTTTAGCGACCTCTTACGGTAGAAAGGAAGAAGCGTTTTACAATCAACATGGTCTCGGCCGAAATTTATTAAAAACTGAACATTTCTATCATTTAATTGTAACAAATTCTTTCAAAAAAAATTAATCGTTGAGCAAACAAGAATTACAAAATACATTTTACAAACGAATTTAACATTTGTAGTGTAATCTTTTAAAAATCAAGAGGAATCTATCGCAATTTACAAAGTATATCTTCCGTTCGTCATCTTCGTCAAGGAATGAGAAAGAGAAAGGAACGAGAGCACGTGAAAGGAAGGGAGAGGGAAGAATAATGGAACGAAACAAATAGTCAAGGAGAGAGCTTTTCATAGCTAGCTGTACTAGCGCGATCGATGAGTCAGACTAGGGATTTTTTTGCGAACTTTCGATTGCTCAATTCGATTCAGCACGATGTTAGCACGCGGTTTCCTGAATTCGTTCAAGATGGACAAAGTTACACGATTTCACCGTCGACTGTCGTCGTCATCGTCGCTAGTCGTCATGTTCTCCCGAGAGATCATTCATGCTCGACGAATCGCAACGTATCCAGGTTGCAAGATCAATTTAAATATCCCTGTGCTCTCGCGAGCAGAGTGACGCTAGTAAAAATTACCAAGCCTGACTCTCATACGAGTCACGCAGGAGAAAAATCGTCCCTTGTGGGCTATAAAAGAACCCCATGTTCCACACCTCTTCTCCCCCTCTCTCACCCCTCTTCTGCCTCTTTTCCTGCGCTGCAAGCTGGTTCGGGTACGACGTTGCAAAATCGATAACGGCGTCGTTGCTAATCGGATGCCTCGATACGAGGTGCATTGCTCGGGAAACGAATTTTTCCGTCATTCTTCTCCTTCTCTTGCATCAATATCAAACTTAATACTGTGTGTGTTGTCGTTGTCGTTTTTCCTTATCTATCGTACCGTGGCTTGGACAATGCGTCGACGAAATTCTTCGACGACGTAACACGCAGTAGGCGTGGCGAATCGAATCGTTCGTTACCAAGGCGAGAAAGAGATAGAGCGATGACAAAAGAGATAGAGAAGTAAAAGAAGCGTGGAATGAATGTGTACAGGTTAGATCATTGTCAGTTACCCTTCGAGTTTTTTTTTCACCTTGAAATTGTCCGTTAACATATCGGAAATTTTCAAGCTTCATCATACCTATACACACGTCTATCGACGATTTTCGTTCGATTTCGAACTTAGCTGCACTGACGTGATCTTCCAAGAATATATCATGATGCAGAGTATGTTTCCACATGAAATTGCGAATTATAGCCGACTTTCAAAAGATTCGTTTCATAGTGCGTAACTTGATTGTTTTGTAACATTATCTTTTTTTACCGATAATGAAAGTTTAATTATAATAATCTAATAAATCTTATGATACTGTTTACAATATACTATTATTCTAAGTAATATACTAGTTATTATTAGAAGTAAAATAATACAACGATATGAATTTTTCAAAATTCATTTTTTTAGAAAAAAAATTTTTTTTTTTTTCAGACAAAATTGAAATTGTATATGCAAGAAATTGTATATGACGTTTCAAATTATTATTCGCATGTTACCAATACGTCTTAAATATCGTTGTAAAACTATCTTCGAATTTGATACACAAAAGTATCTATTCTTTCATACATACCAATTGAATAAAATCTTAAAATATATGTATCATTATATATTTCCTATCGTTATTTTTAAAATTTTTACAAAAAATAAGTAGAATGTAACGTTACGTAATCTCGATCAATGTTTCTTTACTATATAAAGTTCTTCGTTAATTAAAATTATGCGTTATATTCCATAAAAAAATAGGAGAAAATAATTCGCACAGGGCGTGGAACTATAATACTTCTTACGTGAGATTGTAAAATAAACGCCTGTATAGGTATATAGGATACGTGCTTCTGGAAGATTGGATTTCAGTTGCTTTTCGTGCGGCCGACTAGCGTCTCAATTTTCATGTTCTCGCACTTTTTACATCTAACAATTTTACATTTTTTTCTTCCGTTGCGTATTGTAGTTTATTTGGATAGCTAAAAATAAACGTGTATCAAGCAGGGCGATGTGTAAATTCCGGTAAACACAAAGGAATAAAAAAAAAATGGTCTAAACCAATTCGATTCCAACGATACGTAGAATCGAAATTTCGAATATTTTATCATCGATTCGTTCAACTTGCTTCTTCGTCACAGCTTAATTGCAGTAACGCGTCTTCTTGAAATGAGATCAATTAAGTTAACGCATGTGCATTGCTTGCTTTTTTAAAACTGTGGATATATTGCGATGTTAAGAGAGAAGAAAAAAAAAAAAAAAAAAGAAATCGTGTAAGAAAAAAAAAATGCGCATGCAAAATCTCAAACGTGATAGCACTGCGAGACATTTTGCGATCGATCGACTGCGAAGGGGGTGTGTCGAACTACCTTCCTCCCATTCACCCTGGTTTTACGCGCTCTCTTGAGAATTACGTAAGCTGAGATGGTACGAAAAGATGGTACATCGACTTCGAACTTATATTATCTCGTAACAATTATATTATTTATGTCTTGTTTGTGTTTGAAATGCCTTAAATATGTTTGAAATTCTATAAAACTTGCAAATATTGGATAAAAATCAAGAAATCTGGAATATCGTTAAGAAAAAAAGTGTTAAGTCGATTTTTCTACGAAAATACACGAGTAAGAATAAATTTTGCAATTTCAATTTAAAATTAATAAAAATAATAGCTTTTAATGAATAATATTAAAATAATGTCATTTTTACGATGTAATTTTTAATCGTATAATTGTAGAAGAAGTATAAAAGTTTTAATTTATCAATCTTCCTGCTTTCTACGATCTGCACACGTCCATCGAGTCTTTAGAAGGATTTTAATAATATGAAATAAATGAGATTAGTGGGTCAATTTTATCTTATTTTAAGAAAGTAGTGGTATTACCATAGAATTCGATATAAGAGGAATAAATATGGAGAAGCATTGCTCTCAATCTTTTAATATTACTTCCTTACTTTCATATTATTTTTAATATTAGAACGATAATTTTTTTTTTTTAAATAAAACGCGAATTACGAATGCAACGTTTTTATCGAACGTACTTTGTTATTGTCGATAGTATGTGGCACCGAGAAAAGTACGTGGCTCTGTCTGTACTGCGGAGCCATTCACTGTGGACGATACGTGGCAGGCCATGCATTACAGCATCACGAAGAAAATACTCAACACTGTGTTTGTATCGACTGTGAGAACCTGGCAGTATTCTGGTAAGTTAAACCCTTCGCTTTCGCCATTCTCCACGACACAGATCGACGATCCTCCTCTTCTTCCTCCTCTTCTCATCATTGATACGATTTTTAATCTCGCCCACTCGCATTTCCCTCCAGTTTTGCTCCGCCATGTTTCCTTTCTTTTCTTTTTTATGCGTTAGAAAAAACGAAAACGAGTAGTGAAACATTCTCGAAATGCCTCGAGTTTCGAAATTCTCGCTCAACTTATAAAAAGTACATACTTTTATTATTATCCCCCCCTTTCTTTTTCTTCTTCCTTTCCCATCCTATCGTTTCGAATTTTTTAAATTAACGTTTCAATCGTTGCGAGAATGGCTCACGTTCGATCGAACAATACGTTACACGATGATAAGTCGTTGTTGCCTTACTTACAATTAGTCATTTATCGAATATTTGATACTGAAAGAAAGAAAGAATCCAACAGCAGCTTAAACGCTTCAATTACTTAACTATGCCATCTTTGTCGCCGAACGAAGCCCGCGCTTACAAATACACGCACGTTTCAGTTACATGTGCGACGAGTATGTGATCAACGATACGACGAGCGGCCAAATCGAGAAGATACGTCGCGCCACCTTCCGTAAGGACGAGCACAAAGAGAACGAGGAGAATTGGAACACTTCGCCATCTACGACGCCGTCTTCGAGGAGGGAGAACAGCGAAGATAACGACGCGGACGCCCTGTGGAAGGCGGAAGTGGTCGTAAGGAACCTGCGGCCGAGGACAGCGCGAAAGAGGTTACACTCGTTGGATGGGACGAGCGGAGACAATAGACCGGCGACAAAGCGTAGGAGCTCGAAGATAACCTCAAAGGAGAAGAAAGTCGTCGGCCTGAGGAATCTTGGCAACACCTGTTTCATGAACGTGGTGTTACAATCGTTCAACAATATCAGCCATTTTTGCGAGTATCTCACGCAGATGCCGTGTCTCGAGGGTATACCGTTCGACGAGCCGCCCACGCACAGAGGTCGAATCGTCACACCCGGTAGAGCAAAAGAGTTCATGAGCGACGCCCTCCTCGCGGAAGAGTTGAGGAAGGTTCTGCTTGGCTTGAATCTAGGCGGCTCGAACGGCCAGGCGATATCCCCCGAATGCCTTTTCCTCGTCATCTGGAAAGTCGTGCCAAGATTTCGGGGCTACCAACAACAAGACGCTCATGAATTTCTCACCTATATGTTGGACAGACTACATACGGAACTTTTGCAATTGTTGCCCAGACTGGGACACGAGCCTCTCGGTCTGCGTGGCAAGCAAAGCATCGTCACAGCCGTGTTCGGAGGCACTCTTCTTAGCGTGGTAAGTCGCCGGATTGTTCTCGGAGGAAGCTCTGTTTAACCCTCGAAATAACTGATCTGATCTGCATTACAGTCGGCAGATGCTGTATCATTTTGATCCTTGATATATATATATATATGTATTTTGAGAAAGAAAAGTTCAGTATTATTAAAAGTATAAAGTTATTACTTCTAGATTTAATTGATGCGCTCAATAATTCTTTTGATTTTCCTATTCAATTCAACTAATATTTAATTGGATTTATCTTTTTATCTTTTCTTAAACACATTTAATATTGAAATATTCTCGTTATAGATTTATCAATAATTATAATGTTTGATAAGAAAGTAATCCGTGTTACTTGAATATTCTATTACCTGCTATTTTCTATGCATGACACTTCATGGATTAAAATGATCCGGCGTTCAACGGACGAGGGTTAATGCGTTTCCGGTTACACTTTGTTATTTCAATGCGGAATGATGGGAGAGAGTGCCGAATTAACATTTTTTTGGAGAGTCATTTTATTATTCATTTTCTTCTTGGGAGAAGCGCGGACAAATTATGGATCGCGTTTCCTCGCGCAGGTCCACTGCATGAACTGTCGTACGGATTCCAAGACGCACGAGCCCTTTCAGGATCTTTCATTGGATATACCGGACAGATTGCAGAGACGGACGAAAGAGCAAGAAGAGGTTTGCAGTCTCACGTACAGCTTAACGAGATTTTTCAAAGTTGAAGAGCTGGCCGATAGCGAACTATACTTTTGTGACAATTGCATGGGGAAACAGAGATCCACTAAGAGGTTCTGGATACACAGGCTGCCTAATGTTAGCATACATTTATTAATTTAAACATTATTACATTAATAAAACATTTATTAACGTTATCTATGATTACAATAAAATTAATTTAATAAAAATTTAGCAATATTATTCTTTTTGTATTTTTTTTTTTTTTTTTAATTTTTCAAATATGTTTCATTTTCTAAGATGTATATTTTTTGATTAATTAATTAATCGATTTTTGATGGAATAGAATTTTGTATATTTTTAGTATTATATATATATATATATGATGTAATCTATTGATTATGTGTTTTATTTTAGGTGTTGTGCCTTCACATTAAAAGATTTAGGTGGTGCAATTCCTATCGCTCGAAGGTGGATACACAGGTGGATTTCCCAATGAAGTCACTCGATATGTCTGCATTTACAGTGCGTGGCGTGAATGGAACGAAATTGGGCGCTTCGAATAGTCATCTGTATGATTTAGCTGCCGTTATTGTGCATCATGGTTCTGGGTATGCTCTAACCTCTTTTTCCATGTTGATTCTTTTATGTAAAGTAGAAATCAAACTTATCTATTTTACTTATTCTTATATTCATCTTTTTATACCTTTCATAAACCGACTGTATAAATATAATACAAAATATTACAAAATATCATATTTATTTATAAGAAACAAAATTCAATGGATTTTATCAAGCCTGTAATCACAATTCACAAATATTCTCATATTGTAAAAAATTACTTTTCTTATTTATTGTGTAACGATAATAGGATATCTATTTTGACAATAAATATTGGAATATCCATTTTAGCGCTGGAACTGGACATTACACTGCCTTCGCTGTTCACGATGGACAATGGTTTCACTTTAACGATAGCTCTGTACGGCCAGCAACCACCGACGCGGTCGCTAAGTGTAAACCTTATATTCTGTTTTACGTGCGGAAAGAGTTCTCCATTCCACCTCCTTTGTGACGTCGTTTCCCCAGTCAGTCCCGTCCTGATGATTCGAGCTTCGACGACGATGACGATGAGATGACGAAGAAGTAAGCGAATTCGAGCACAAGAAGTTGAAATGGTGCATACAATAAAAACTGGCCAAACTGAAGAATCAGTAGAATCTATATCGTTTCTCGAAGTTTCTAAAAGAGAAAGGAAGAAAGCAAAGCTCGTCTCTTTCTTTTGTTTTGTAACCAATTTTCTGTTTCTTAAATTTTTAGCACGATTGATCGGTGTCACGTATATACGGGGCTTATTATATTTCATCAATGATATAAAAACGAAAAATATCGGATACTTCATAGATATATTTTTTGTAAACTGAGATAATCGGTTGCTCAACATCGTATAGGAATTTACTAGATATTATAACGATTAGCACGATGTAAGAGTATATAACATTAATCTTCGAGTAGTAGTCGTTCGAAGCGAAACAAATTTTAATTGTTCGCAAATGAGCGACTATTAATTTTTAATTATTATTATCTTATTGATTTTAATTTTTCTTAGATTATATATATATATATATATATTTTTTTTTCTTTTTCTCGTAACTATTGATTTTATATGATCCATTTCAGTTTTTTATTTTATTTTATTTTATTTTTTTTTTTTTTAGATCATATCGAACGATTATTTTTTTCTTTTTCATATTTGTTGATTATACGGTAAATTAACCAAGTATTTGGATATAGTCCTTTTACGGTAGATAAAAATACTATAAGATACACCATGCATACCGATTAGTTGTATACGCACATGAACATGTAGGGATATAGCACGAGAACTGAGAGCTTCCTTTCCCTTTTTAGAAACATTAGAAAAAAGCAAAAAAAACAAAGAAGGAAAGAAAGAATGTACTCTCGAGGCAGATTGCGGAAACGCGTTGCCTTTAATGTTGATTTTCTTTATACTCCTTTTCGCTGGTCTCTCTCGGTGGTCGTTGACCACCTCCCTTCATCGAATCGATTAAAGCTCCTCCCGGCCGTATAGCGGAATAACGCGTAACGCGTACCTCGTATATATAAATATAAAACTATATATTTATATATATATATATTGATATATATATGATATATGTATATATATATATTACATATATACATATGATATATGTATATATACATATGATATATGTATATATGTATATATATATATATATATATATATATATATATATATATATATATATAT